GAGCACAACAGAGATTCTAACTTATCCAAGGGCGGACTGACACATGGGGCCCCCAGGCAATAGGGGATCATGGGGCCCCTGTGTGCTCACCCACACTCAAACCACACCCAAAAAAGCCTATGAAAGGTACTAGGGAAAATCTCATGGGGCCCCCTACTGACCCTGGGCTCAGGCAGTGCCCGAGTTTCCAAATGGTCAGTCCGCCCCTGAACTCATCCTTACTTTATTCAGAAAGTGTTTTGAACTAGCTCTATTAACCACTTGAGTCCCAGGTGCTGTTTAAATTGGGACAATGACAAGGGCTTTTCACCCCAACGTTATTTTTAAATAGCACCCATATTCAGCGGGTCTCAGGTGGCATCCAGAAGCTGAAACGATCAATTCCTTGGCTTCAGATTTTGCTACACAACACTCCATGGAAGCGCTTGTAGTAGATCACTAAACACACTTGGTCAGCACAGCATTTTCTCTCAGTAGGGAGGCTTGGGCAAAACTTTCTCATTTTTGTTCAGCAGCTTCCTGCAGCAATAGATCACTGCTATAGTTATCTATTGCTGGTTGAGCAGCTGCATGGGGGGGAATCTAAATCCAGTCTCTGCTGGCCATATCCAGAATCCCCCCCCCCCCCCCCCCCCCCCCCCCCCCCCCCCCCCCCGCATGAAGAACAGAAATGGTAGAAGAAGTGTAAAATTAGAATGTTTACTAATATATAATCCCCAGATCAGAACAATCTCCTTTGGTGATCTGGATATCACTTGCGTTCACCGCACGAGCGTCAAATGCTCTCAGAGATTACCGCAATGTCATTTGGATTTTTAGCGATCACATACCTGTGAAAAGTTTTAATGTTATGCTAACAAATTATGAAAACTTTTTTTTTTTTTTTACTGCGTGTATTGCAATGTAGCATCAAAATGGGAATGAAGATCCCATTTTAAACATATATGTCCACTTTGAACTTTACCATTCCACTAGGGTATATAAAACCACATTTATGTGATATTTTCACCAGCAGACTTTGAGAGTTATATTTTGGGGTACATATCTGATGGTGCACAAATTACATAAAGGAAAATATATTCCCCCGAAAAAAACATATATAATGAGTTAGGTTGAGTTACAACCATTAAAATATATACATGTGCAGAACCAAGACTTCTTTGAAATGAGAAAAAAAAAACATTCTGGAACTCAGGAAGATTAAAGGATAAACAGGCTTGGGGACTCAAGGGGTTAAAAAAATTAGACGGAGGTACACTTTAATGGCTGCACTATATGTGCTTTTAGGCTCACTATTTACACGTAAGTAGTTAGTATTTGGCTGGAAAGATAGTCTAGGCAGATAGGGATTACTTTAACGTACAGTATATGACCAGCTTCAATGTGATTATCATATCCCTGCGGAACTTGGCACATGAGACAGATCTATTATATTTAAATGTTCAGAGTGAACCTGTGAGGACAGCAATATGGGAGTTGCCATTGCCAACTGTCCTTTAAAGGAAGAGACAACTGGGCTATACTATAACTGTATCCAGGTAACTAGTTGTATCACAATGAACTGGAATTATTCTGAAATGTTGAAGATGTTTCGGAGCATGTCCAAGCCACTTCTTCTAAGTTCTGAACTAAAGAGGTGTTTTGGAGGAGCTATGAAATGTCACTATTACAGAATGAGCCCAGTTGAATTATGATCAACTACTTCTAGATATACCATGAGCAGGATAAACGAGAATCCTCACAGACAATCTCATATGCTGTTCCAGGGGCTTTAGTAAATGTTGGTGTACAGTCATTCACCCTGAGGTCATCACAGAGGACAAGGGGGCGCTCTTTACGTCTGGAGGAAAATAAATTTAATCTCCAAACATGGAAAGGTTTCTTCACAGTGAGAGCTGTGAAAATGTGGAATAGACTCCCTCAAGAGTTGGTTCTGGCCAGCTCAGTGGATTGCTTTAAAAAAGTCCTGGATTCTTTCATAGATACACAGAATATAACTGGATACTAACATTTATAGGTAAAGTTGATCCAGGGAATATCCGATTGCCTCTCGGGTGATCAGGAAGGAATTTTTTCCCCCTGCAAGAGCAAACTGGATCATACTTTGCTGGGTTTTTTGCCTTCCTCTGGGTCAACTGTGGGTGTAGGATTATAACTTTTTTTTTAATGGCTGAACTGGATGGACTTTTTTCTTTTTTCAGCCAGACTAACTATGTAACTAAGTACTGAAGTAGTTGTTTGAAGAATGTACGAAAAGTCTTCACTATTACAGAACGAGTCCAGTTGACTGTGACTTACCACTTCTTGATATACCATGTCCAGGATAAACAAGAACAATAATATGCCATTTCAGGGGCTTTAGTAATTTTTAAAGCAACCTTTTTACCCTAGAAGAACATTTGCAAAAATGTTTAGGTCTTACGGAACACTTTTTAAAAATGATTATATCAACAGCTCACAGGACATCAGCATAATCAGTATGTTGTAGAAGGTTTTAAAGTAATGAAGAATGTGACATACTTAGAGCATTTGACCACCACAGAAGATCGTTTTACACCACCCCCTACTATTTAGGACAATAGTCATCTTAATATGAGCTGAATAATAATAATAATACTAATGTCCATGAAGGGAAACAGAGACTCTGAATCTTGTAGTGACTTCTACATTCGTAGTCAGTGGAGAACTGTCCCCCTACACTGATGGTCAGTGAAACAGTGACTCCTTACATTGTATGTCAGATTAAAATTGCCCCCTCACATTGGTGTCCATTGTTTGTGGGAGACAAATCAGCCACTGCTCAAGGAACCCCAAGAAAACTCTGTAGGAACTCCCCAAGGGTTCGACAGAACCCTAGCTGAGAAATCCTATTCTAAGGCATTGACGTGGAACACATTTGCTGATTAGGAATTGCAACTTCCCTTTGACTTTATAATATGCATGCTTGTTCCAGGTCAGTGGCTCAGAAAGTACTATAGCCAGGTAATTAGTATTCTTAGAATGAGGTCAGCAATGTCGGCCTTGTATTTCTCTCCATACAAATTTTTCTTTACAAACCTAAACAAAATGCTTTCCTGCTTCAAAGAACTGCTAGTATTAATTCAAAGATTCATATTGTATAGAAAAGGAAAAAAAAAAAGTATTTGATGCTATATGTAAAGCATTGAAGGACACCGGTCAATGTGTCCATTAAGGTACCCTTGATAGTCCTGCTACATTCTCCCACCCTTCTTTTTCACCTTCTGGAGCACTTTGAAAAAAAACCCAATATTTCCATGTTCAGGGAGCATATAACATTCTCCCGTTCCTCCCACTATTTAAAGTTTGATGTTTGAACAGTCATTGGCCAGGTCCAAACTCTCTGTAGGATCCAGAGGATACAGAGGGTAGGCAGATGGAGCAACAGAGGAGCTCGGAGAAAGTATTAGTGTGTATGGGAGAGATGGAAGGCAGGAACTCCTGACACTTTCCTAATTCACTTTAAAACACACAGGTACTCATAATTCTTAGCTTGTGAGCACTAGTAAAGCATCCGATTCGGCAAGCATGTACAAATCTTCAAGCAGCATTTTTGAAGCCCTTAAAGCAGCCAAACATCTAATTACATGAAAGCACCACCATAATTTTGTAACATGAGAAACCCTGCAAAAGATCCAACCTCCTCCCCAACTAACACACATTTATTAACCACTAAATATCATTCTTAATTAGTCATTCATAAATAATACAAATATAATAATAGCTGTGCAGACCATTGCCCCTTGTTGATGTTGCGCCTTAGCTCACACCTCAGCCCCAGTCCAAAATTGCTGAATATAGATCTTAAAGTGGAAGAAAACCCTAGCTATTCCTATAAATGTTCCCTCCCCCTACTTATGCTGTTTAACCTGTATAAAAAAGTACTTACCTGTTTTTAATCCACTCTGGTCATGTGATTTTGCAGCTGTGGCTCCCCTGTGTCAGTGAGCAGCTGCTTCAGGGGAGAGGAGGGAGTGCTAACAATGGCTGGGCTATGGCAGCCTATGAGTGATGTCACGGCCAAAGCCATTGTGGAGCGCTTCCTTACACGGAGCTGCAGGATCACGTGACTGGACTGGAACAGATTGAAAAGAGGGGTAAGTACAGAGATTTTTTTTATACAGCTTAGGCAGGGAAGGGGGAGCGGGAAGGGAACGTTTAAATAAATAGTTAGAGTTTTCTTCCACTTTAACTGGAGTGCTGGATGTAAAGCTGCTACAAATTGCTTTAGGCTTGCTGAAAGCCTGCTGAAGTCTGATAAAAGCTTGTTTAAAAGGGTGCTTAAAGAAAGCTTCTCAAAGGTTGGTAAACGGTTTATAATGCTTGTTAAGTCTGATTGTCTCATAGTAGTGGATAGAAGCTAGGCCCACATGTTTAGCACTGGCCAGACATTAAAGCAGAACTCAACTCAACTATGTTTTTTCCCATTTACCTGTACTGATGTAGTGCTCTTCAAAGCACAAATTCACCTGCACTGTTTATCCAGCGTTGTCCCACTGCGATATGTTGTTCAGGTACCACACAGCGGGTCCTGTACCGCCATCTTGCTCCTCTTCCGCTGGCTTCCTCTTCCAAGTGTAGACAGCTAGCTCCAATAACCCATTGGACCCACCCCCAGCCTGCCTTCCAGACTACCCTCAGGTTCCCTGTGTGCCGATCCTGCATTCTCCTGGGAGATGTGATGTAAGTATCCCAGGAGGATGTAAGACCAGGTACACATCATTCTGGCCTAGGCTGGAATGGCAGCAGAGAGCAGGGCTAAAAATGAAAAAACTAAAAAGAAATTGGAAAGAAAGGAAAGGATAGAAAAATTCTGTTTGCAGAGGGAGTGGTTAAGCTGAACTAATTCCCTTTTGGAAGTTGAGTTCCACTTTAACTTAAAATAGTTATAGTACAAAGTAAAGAAGCACTGTCTTCGTGGAGTCCATGATGTGTTCAATGCAAAAGGAAAGACCTATGACATAAAAAATGATACAACTCACCTGTAATTTTGTCTCTGACCAGCTTGCAAGATTCAATGTCTCCAATACTGCCGAACAGGCTCTTGAATTCTTCCTGTGTCATGTTTTGTGGAAGATAGTTGACGATCAAGTTGGTTTTGCTATCGTCCGCGGCCCCATTTGTGCCGTTGAGGATGCCCACGCTGCCGGGACCATTACTGGCCTGTGTTTCCATGGTGCTGATTATCTGCTGGAGGGAAGAGAAGAAGAGGGAAGGCAAGACGTCAGCATCCATCAAAAAAAATACCTGAGTTGGTCATGTCAGCCATGACAGTACCGTTCATATTATATCATCTAGGAAATGGATGAAATCATCTTTAATGGCCTTGAGGTCATCGGTGGCCTTGTTAGGTTCTCATTAATGATTACATGATTGGATACAGTAAAGCTTGTGATATTAGGGCACTTACTTAACCAGAATATGAGCTCATCAAAGTTCCTGTCTCCAACCTATAATGTCAGTCAGGACACATTCATCAGGATGAGTCATTTGTATTACTCTAGGAAATTAAAGTGTAAGTTCAACCAAAATTGATTTTTCTGGTATGGGTGGCCAAAGGTCAGATGAATCACCCTTTTTTTTTTTAAATCTCTTTTGAACTCCCTCGAGACCACCCCACCAGCAATCCTGTCATCAACTGAACCATGGAGTCTTGGTCACCCTACTCCATTCTCTATAATGTAAAATCCATTTGGGGATATGGACACACCCCATGTAATGACTTTGATTGTAAGGCCATGATACTAATGGAGATATAGGAAGATGATGGATTCTCCATTCAACCAGTATCAACCCAAACCTGAAACATCAGTTTTGTATGGACTAACTGTATGACAGTGTAAAGAGGGACTAGGAAAGGCAAAATATAAGCAGAATAAACTTTATCCCCCATTCACACTATGGTGTTTTGAAATTTCTTTTGGGGACATGCATCGCGTGATGCAACAATCATAGCAGAACCACATCACATTTTCTGTGCCATTAAAATGAATGGCACCTGAACACTCGGTCCCGCAATTTGCCATTTTATCAGAGCGTTTTGAAATTGCAGGCAAAATTGCGACAATTCTGCCTGCAATTCAAAATGCCTTAGTATGAATGAGGCCTCAGCTTTACACTGCTTTAAAACACACCAACTTTTTTAGCTGCTTTTCATGTGAAGTTATTTATTCTCAAAGATTACAACAAAGACTCTAATGTCCTACCCTTTGCCAGTGCAGTCCTAATTTTTCTGCTACAGTAAAGGAACTTCAATAGCCTCTTTGGCTAAATTTTAATTCTTTTGATGTATACAGTGACATAATAGCCCTGGTATTTGGGTGGGGTGTCTGTTAAAGTCATAAACAGGGGGGTACAGTAAGGCTATGTTCACATGAATATGGAAAGGGGAAAAGCGGCATTTGTTTTGAACAATTCTCAAGTGTCCACATTTCCATGTTCTTCAGGAATTGCAAAATGCTGTCCAAATCACTGGCTTCCTCTGGTGGGTGCTTACAGCAAAATACAGGCACAGCATGCATCCACTTCCCAATTAAATGTAGCCTAACATTGGCATGTGGGCAGTCACAGCTTGACCTTCCTGCAGCTAAGCCAACTTTGGATGGACGCAAACTGATCCCAACTTCTCCATCCACCACCCAATACCAAACTCAAGTTAGAATCTGGTCATTTATGGATACACCTTGGGGCAGAAACAATCACTGCCGACACTGCAAGCCAACATTTTCGGCAACAGAGATTTTGGAGCTTGTTGGATCATCCCTGAAGGACCCCAACAATCCAAAAATAGCAGCCCATGTAAGTTCTGAGTCTCTCCAGTTGGAGCTTAGAAAGGGCTGAGGGAATTCTCTCTGTCCACAAGTGACAGTGTCGGGCGAATGACCAAGCTCCACCTTTGTCATGTAGAGTAAGTCACATTTTCCTCCATACCTGGAAGAATGGGGTATGCTCTTCATCCCTTCCATTGGGTAAGCAATGGGGAGCAAACGAAAGATGAGTATGTGCTTTTAAGCCCAAACAATAAAAAAAAACAACCTCGCAGTGTCCCCCCCCCATCCTCTGCTAGGGTTACTTTACACCACGTTCCGTCTAGCTCCCCTCCTCTTCCTGGAACTCCAGTCTGTGGGTAGAGCCTCGGCATAGTCATGTACAACAAGGAGACATTAACCCTGTATTGTACGCTGATGAGGCTGGAGCTTGACTGGAGTCAGAGCAGGCTATGAGGACCAGTTAGGTAGGTAGGAGTAAGGTATGCATTTATACCTTATTCTGCATCCCTAAACATTTTGGGCACTTAACCCATGCAGTGCAGGATGTCCCACTGCAAGAGGGGGGGGGTGGGTTCAAAATTCCTGGAGTTGTGCTTTACCCTAGGTTCACACCTAACCATTTTCCACAGCGCTTTGCAGAAACGCACTACAGTCCATTTAACATGATTTCCTATGGGAAACGTTCACATCTCTGCGTTTTCATCCAGTGCGTTTTTTGGAAAGGGTCATGGACTTTTTTAAACGCAAAAAGTTGCGTTTTTGGTTCTATAGACTTCAATGAAAATGCTGCAGAAAAGCATGTAGTGCATTTTTGCCGTGTTTTAAATCTGCCTAGCAACAGGGAAAAAACATTAAAACATTTAAAAAAAAAAACCCACAAAACAAAAAAAAGCTATAAAAATGCATAAAAACGCATGTGCAAAAACGCACTGAAAAAAAACGGATTAAACGCAAACTGCATAGGTGTGAAACAAGCCTTAACCCAAACCTATTTTATGACTCTGCATGGGCAAAACACAAGTTTGGCTTAAAGTGTGCTTAAATGGTAAAGTGGCTTCTCAATCAATTATATCATAAACATTCCTTAATTGGCACGCCTTAAATGATATCGCAGCATGATGAATTGGGCTCATAATATCCATCTTGTACCGGTCTGACTTTAGTAGAATGAATTCTGATTGTCTGCCGAGGATTACTGCACTCTGCTCCCTGGATAAGCCCGTTAGTGTCTTAACTGTCACTTTTCTGTCACATTCATGAAATGCATCCACTGTGGTGAAGCCTGAGAATAGAACATGTGTTCCGTCCCGACAGTGACAAATAAAACTTGTTGAAGCATGTCGGCCTTCTCCTTATTCCCTGGTAATCTTTTTTCACAGGCCGCTGCAACCGTGAAAGGACTGCGGCGCTGTAAGACATCTGCTTTTTTTTTTTTTTTTTTTTTTACACCGTGTCTTTCTTTTCTATACAAGTAACATCTCCAGTTACCAGTGGAAGAGAAAAACAAAAACCCTCGTTGATTGCTAATTATGGCCTTGGATTTTTTTAATATTCTGGTTGTCCGGATTAGCACTGTAAACGTGCAATAATCAGGCGGCCATGCTGAGTCTCCCTTCCCGCTATTAATGGGAAATTCTCAGGCACCGGATACATTGAGGATGGTTGTGGCCAGAGCGGCAGCAGCGAGCAGCATCTGTCAAGCCAGCGAGCCAGCCGCCCCGTGTAATTAGCATGGCAGTCGCGAGTAAGCAGGACGACTTTAACGAGATTTCAGCCGAATTAGGCCATAAAGACCCTTTTCATCCTCCAGGCTGGGATTAAGAAATAAACAGTGAGAGAAAAAGAGATAAGACTTTAAACCCATTACTAAAATCCTGCTGGGCGGCGGCGGAAGGGTTAACGACAAGGCCGCATTAAAACCCCTCCAAGCGGATTCTTATCGAAGAAGGAAATACTGACAGTTCTTTAACTGGGCAATCATTGTCACTGACCCAGATACGTGAGCCCTGGTATCAGACGTGTTCATACTATCTGACCGACACTTCTCCGGGGCACAGTTGTCAAATGTCCACCATGTCCAGAAAACAGGCCCCAGATTTAAGGGTCTAAAATGTAATGATAAAATCCCCTGTCTCCACACATTACATTCACTTCGTAAACGCATCTTCGTATTTCTTCATGCTAATTTATAATGGCGGAAAAAGTCTCTGCCCCTTTCCTGATTTGCTCTGTTATTGCCTATTTTTGACACTGAATTTTTTAGCTCTCCAACCCAAAAATGAAGCCTAGATGTGGCTGTGGAAATTCCCATTTGTAGTTTTCCCTAACGAGACTGAAATGTGCTTTAATGCTTTAGTTTGCAGCATAGTGGCTAGGTGGTTTGCACTTCTGCCTGGCAGCACTAGGGTTGTTGATTTGAATCCCAAACATGCCACGAACTGCATAAAGTTTGTATGTTCCCTGTAACGGAACTGGACCCCGACTGCACTTGGGTATTTCTGTTAAACTCCTGCTTCCCCATCTGAACACCGACCACAGACACCACTCTTGAAGTAAAACCAGGATATAGACTACTTTATTTTAACACAGATACAAGATATATACATTCAAGGGAACAACCCCCCCTCTCCCTGCATAATGACACAGGGCGGGGCAATCTACCTTCAGTAATAAGAGACACACCAACAGACAGTCCCATCAGGAGGGAGGGCTGCTGCAGACACCCCCCACCAAGCCAATACACAAACACACAAATCCCATAATAGTTTGCTCCCAAGCAAGGCACACAATAGAACAATGGGATGCAACTACATGGCATTAAACAATCAACAATACCTCACCCCAATATTAGGCCAAATCACCCTGTACCCCTAACAGGCACAGGGTGACTTACACATAAGAGGGATATGGGGAGCTGAGACAGGGGTCTCCCCACCTCTCCAAAGTGAGCTGTGTTCCATGGGCCCCCCACCCAAAGTGATTCCCCTTGTGACTGTGTGGGTTATCCTCCCAAATTGAAAAGACATACTGGTAGGTTAATTGGCTCCTAAATTGGCCTTTGTATGTGTATGTAAAAAATGAGAGATAGAGACCTTAGATTGTAAGCTCCTTGAGGGTAGGGGTGTACAATACTCCAAAGACATGCTGGTAGGATAATTGGCTCCTGTCTAAATAGTCCCTAGTATGTGTATGTATGAATGTGAGTTAAGGACCTTAGATTGTACACCCCTTGAGGGTTAGGGACTGATGTAAATGTACAATATATATGTAAAGTGCTGCGTAAATTGAAAGCGCTTTATAACTATCCCAACGCTCCTTCAGCGTTACCTATAACGCTGCTTGCCACCTCCCCCTCTCTCCCCCTCTCTGTTGGGGTCCCCCAAGGCTCTGTCCTCGGGCCAATTCTCTTCTCCATCTACA